CTACCACCATCTCGGTCAAATGCTAGAGAGGACACAAGCACAGTGGCCTTCCTACCAGAGCCTCAGATATTAATACCAAGTAAAGCATCCAGCACTTCCACTAATACCATAACATTATTTTATATTTGATAACATTCAGGGTATAAAAACACGCAAATCTAACAAAGTTCATTTTATAGATGGCCTCCTACACGAGGTAAATGCAGTGTTTGCAGCCTTAACAGAAACTCACACCAAGGACTACCATGATGGTGAAATATGGATCTCAGAGTACAATATTTTCAGATGTGATAGGAAACACAGACCGCAGGGTGGGGTCAGCCTCTACATCAGAGACACACTCATCTGTACTGAGCTGCTAAACACCACAAACGATATGGTGGAAGTGCTGATAATCAAAATAGAGATCCTAAATAGTTATCGTCCTTGAATATAAGTCACCGGAGGTAAATCCTCAGCAGTTTAAAGACCAACTAATGAAAATAGAACACTGCTTAGAAAACTTCACAAATCCAGCTCCGAACATCATCCTGCTTGGGGACTTCAACCTACGGCACCTGAAATGGAAGCACCTGGCTAATACAGTAATATCAGAAAGAATACCAGGAAGTAGCCTAAATGAACAGGCACATGCAAATGACCTGCTACAGATGTGCGACAGGTTTGCCTTAAACCAATAAATAAAAGAATCAATAAGGAAAAAGTACACGTTGGACCTCATTTTCACTAATAATGATGAATTGATCAGGAACATAATGATCACAAATACCTGTTACTCAGATCACAATCTGATTGAAGTTATGACAACCATGGAGAGTAGACCTTCATAACCAGTCCCGAGTCGCAAGGAAGTAGAATTCAGCAAATTCAATTTTAATAATAAACGGATTAACTGGGAGCAAATAAACCAGGACTTCACAGAAATAAACTGGGAAGAACAGCTAGAAAATACAAACCTGAACCAGTGCCTGGAAAAAAAATAAGCTCAGTAGCACTAGAAATATGTTCAAACCGCATACCCCTAAGAAAAAAGAGAAAGAGATGCAGATTGGAACGGGAACGTCGTTCCCTATATAGGCGAAAAAAACGAATAGTGGAACAACTTGAGAGCCGCACCCTATCTCAAGAACGGCGAAGACGGTTGGGTAGAGAAATAGAAAAGATTGAATTAAAGCTACAAGAATCATACAAAATCCAATAGAGACAAAGAGAGCAAAAGGCCATCAGTGAAATAGAGAGAAATCCGATACATTTTTTCTCCTATGCCAAATCAAGATTAAAAACTATATCTAGTATCGGGCCCCTGCGAAAGGGAGATGGAACTTTCACCCATAACAACAAAGAAATGAGCGAAATTCTGAGGAATCAGTACGACTCTGTTTTCAGCGAGCCACTAAACACATTAAAGATTGATAACCCAAATGAGTTTTTCATGGATATGATACCAACATCAAACCATATATCAGACGTCATTCTATCCCCACTGGATTTTGAAGAAGCCATAAACAGTATGCCTATGCACTCTGCACTAGGCCCTGATTCTTGGAACTTCATATTCATCAAGAACTGTAAAAAAACCGCTGTCGCAGGCCCTTCACATTCTGTGGAGGCAAAGCCTAGATACTGGCGTTATCCCTGACATACTAAAAACAACAGAGATAGCACCACTCCATAAAGGAGGAAATACGGCAGAGACAGAAAATTACAGACCGATCACACATCACAAAAATCACACACCATAAAAATATTTGAGAGAGTGCTAAGAAGTAAGATCACAGAATACATGGAATCACAGCATCTCCATAACCCCGGACAACATGGTTTCAGAACAGGGCGCTCTTGCCTGTCGCAGTTGCTGGACCACTACGATATGGCATTAGATGCTATGGAAGACAAACAAAACACTGATGTAATTTACACAGATTTCGCAAAAGCTTTTGATAAATGTGACCATGGTGTTATTGCACACAAAATGCGTGCAAAAGGAATTACCGGGAAAATTGGCAGATGGATCTACAATTCCCTGAATAATAGAACCCAATGTGTAATAGTCAACAAAATAAAATCCAGCCCATCAACCGTGAAGAGCTCAGTCCCCCAGGGTACTGTGCTTGCTCCAGTACTTTTTTTCATCCTCATATCGGACATAGACAAGGACACAACCTATAGCACTGTATCATTCTTTGCAGATGACACTAGGATTTTTATTAGAGTAGACAACATAGAAAGCACAGCGAACCTCCAGTCAGATGTAAATCAGGTCTTTCAATGGGCTACAGAAAATAATATGGTGTTTAACGAAGATAAGTTCCGGCTCTTGCACTATGGAAAAAAATGAAAATATAAAAGCAAAAATCGCGTTTAAAACAGAGTCAAATCATAACGTAAAACGAAAAAGCAATATAAAGGACCTGGGTGTACTCATGTCGGAAGACCTTACCTTTAAAGAACACAATAAAGTAGCCGTCACAACTGCAAGAAAAATGACAGGTTGGATAACAAGAACTTTTCACACTAGAGATGCTATACCGATGATGATACTTTTCAAAACGCTTGTGCTCTCTAGAGTGGAGTACTGCTGCACAATGACAGCCCCTTTCAAAGCTGGAGAATTTGCTGACCTGGAGAGCGTGCAGAGATCCTTTACTGCTAGAATCCACTCAGTAAAACACCTAAACTATTGGGACCGACTAAGGACCCTAAATCTGTACTCCCTTGAGCGCAGGCGGGAGAGATACATAATAATTTACACGTGGAAATTAGTAGAGGGGCTGGTCCCAAACCTGCACATAGAAATAACACCACATGAGACCAGAAGACATGGCAGGATGTGCAGAATACCCCCGTTGAAGAGCAGAGGTGCAACAGGTACTCTGAGAGAGAACTCTATCAACATCAGAGGCCCGAGACTGTTCAACACACTTCCACTACACATAAGGGGCATAACTGGCCGACCCCTCACAGTGTTCAAGAGAGAACTATCAACATCAGAGGCCCGAGACTGTTCAACACGCTTCCACTACACATAAGGGGCATAACTGGCCGACCCCTCACAGTGTTCAAGAGAGAACTATCAACATCAGAGGCCCGAGACTGTTCAACACGCTTCCACTACACATAAGGGGCATAACTGGCCGACCCCTCACAGTGTTCAAGAGAGAACTATCAACATCAGAGGCCCGAGACTGTTCAACACGCTTCCACTACACATAAGGGACATAACTAGCCGACCCCTCACAGTGTTCTAGAGAGAATTCGATAAGCACCTCCAAAGGATATGATCAACCAGGCTGTGATTCATACGTCAGGCTGCGAGCAGCCGCATCCAACAGCCTGGTTGACCAGTCTAGCAACCAGGAGGTCTGGTCGACGACCGGGCCACGGGGACGCTAAGCCCCGAAAACACCTCAAGGTAACTTCAAGGTAAGCTCAATATTCAATTGAAAAAAAATTAGAAATAATAAAGAGACAATTAATTTGACATGCTTCCAGCAATGTCTTCTCATCTGGGCTCCTAGAGCTCGAGGCTCTCAGGTAAATTCAGGCAGCCCATCCTCCGAACAGACAGTACGTTTTAATACTAAATGTAATAAGTACAATCCTGACTATCGGCATAGTACATAAATACACTTAATCGCCAGCATCGCACCAAAATATTGTGAACATTAGAGTTTACCTGAAAAGCTGTATAGAAAGCCACGACCTAACCTAACCTTCTTAGTGTAGGAGGACAAACATGTAAATAGTATTTATTGTATCTTAATTACAATTAGTACTTAACCTATAGCTATATTAACTAATAAAACAAAGCTAAAGTCTTTCAATAAATTATAAAGTAACTCAGGATATTTTCAAATTTAAGAACTCAACCTTCAAGAGTTTTACCTGCGCGATTTACCACCTCCTCTTCACTCATCCGATGAATCGGATGAGGACGTGTCTGTTGGAACACCATCTCCTCCTCCACGGAAATGTCACTACTCACTGGGGGCCGGTCGGCCGAGCGGACAGCACACTGGACTTGTGATCCTGTGGTCCTGGGTTCGATCCCAGGCGCCGGCGAGAAACAATGGGCAGAGTTTCTTTCACCCTATGCCCCTGTTACCTAGCAGTAAAATAGGTACCTGGGTGTTAGTCAGCTGTCACGGGCTGCTTCCTGGGGGATGGAGGCCTGGTCGAGGACCGGGCCGCGGGGACACTAAAGCCCCGAAATCATCTCAAGATAACTTCAAGATAACTCAGCTGCCGGTGTCCTTCACGACACTGCACCTACGACAGCACCACAAGACCAGCACCAAGTCAGACCACCAAGACCAAGACCGACAAGTCCAAGAAGAAGACCAAAGATCAGACTTTCCTGAAATCGTCAACAAAAAAGACCAGTAACGAAATGCTTAAACATCAACATCTGTAATCAACCGTCAACTGCTTGCGATCCCAGCCTCTGTGTGCACTGCAAATGACGCCCCCACTCAATCCTACTTCACTCTACTCAAGTTTAATTCCGCGGTGGTTGGGCCACTATCCTCGCCCTGTTTGCTAGCTCTATGGACATATTCAAGTTCAAGAGTTGAACACGAAAATTTTAACCTAAAAATTTTGAGTGTATTAACACAAAATTAGGAGAATATATGGGGAGGTAAATGTAACAGCACAATTAAGTGTATTTATGTACTATGCAGACAGTCACTATTACACTAACAGTTTTTCAGTCTATTTGGACAGTCCTCAAAATAGACAGTAACGTACTATCTATTCGGAGGAAGAGTTGAATTTAGGTAACGTTACTAGTCAAAATAGGTGGAGATATTGTCAAACAATAGACACAGTCACAGAGATTTGCTGTGTCAAACAACAATTACAGATGTTGTACCAAACGAGTCATGAAATCAGTGAAAAACAAACCGCAAAGGAGACAGATAAGCCATTCAGAACTCCCTGGAGACTGTGAAAAACAAACAAATAGCGACCAGGTGTGTAAACAATATACATCTAACAAACATGGTAGATATCATAATAATCAACAAGTCAGATATAACAATAACGACGCAAACAATAGTGGTTAAAATGGCGGCATCAAACAACTAGCAACAATGGTGTCGTTAGACCAGCTTGTCCTCTCGAATACTACATAACATTTTGACGTCAAAATCCCCAAACGGACATAATATGATGTGCTATAAATCACAGCAGCTCGCAATCAACCATGTTTTATGTGCACGGGTCCAGTGGTTAGGTTAGTACGTCATTTTCTGTCCATTGTGACAACTCACGAGGAAGGGTTGATCAAACTACTGATGGCAATAGTGTCAAACAACACCGTATAGTAGTGCTAATGGCATCAGAGGAAACCTGTTATCATACTAATAGTGTCTGATAACGATGTTATCCAACTAATGGTGACACCAAGGATGGTGTCAGATGACGATGATGATGATGATGATGGTGTCAGATAATTCTGGCAGTAACAATGGTGGCGTTGGACAATGAACACATTACACAGTGTGTAATCCTCTCAATCTCCCAACATAATTACCCATCCTCCCCCCCCCCATTTTGGCACCAATATGTAGTACATACACCTAAACACTTCACTAATATGTAGTACATACACCTAAACACTTCACTAACAGTAAAATGTGAAACCCAAACTCTGAGCATCACTGTCTTGTCTTCCAACACAGGAGCGTCAGATCAGCAGCGACGCGTCAGTCACACGCACGCGTAAGTCATATGCACGCATAAGTCATACGCACGCATAAGTCATACGCACGCGTAAGTCATACGCACGCATAAGTCATACGCACGCGTAAGTCACACGCACGCGTAAGTCATACGCACGTGTAAGTCATACGCACGCGTAAATCATACGCACGCATAAGTCATACGCACGCGTAAGTCATACGCACGCGTAAATCATACGCACGCACAAACTAAAGATGACTTACACATATAGGTAGACTTGGAGTTCTTTTTTTTTTAACATGCGTATACACATTAGCTTATACAATGTATAACAATATACACTCCATAAAAAACTTCATATGTATATATTGTCACTGAAAATATTTATAACCATCACCAGCCTGCTGGTGAAAATAAAACATATAAAATATATAAATCAATTATAATACATATACACATATGTGACAAAAATATTTGTATTATTCCTCTGGGATTTATCTGGGGTTTACGGATATTTTTAGGGTCATGAAATATTTCAAATTAAACCCAAGCCAGAAATGTGAAAATAGAGACAATTGGCGGTGATTTGGTTGGTCCTGAATCATCATTAGGTTGTGCTAATGGTCCAGGATGAACCCTAATATCATTATTGCCTTGGATTGTCAGGTTTGTGGTTTGGGTCTAATTATCAGCCCAGTTATTGCCATTAATTGTTGCATATTCCAGATCGCATAACTTCTAATAACGATTCAATTTTTTTTGTTAGTTTAATGTAAATGGAAAACGGTCCCTGATACATGTTATGAGCTGAGTACTTGGCACTGGGCACTGGGCACTGGGCACTGGGCACTGGGTGTAAGGACGTTACTAGAAAGCCTCTCTATTTCATTGCCCAAACAACAGCTGCAAGTTGCAACATCTGCTCAGCTTTGGGTTTGAACAAGTAACCTTTTATACTCAGGTATTGTGGACACAGCATTCTCTTAGTAACTTTGTGCTATAAACATAATAACTGAAGATTAATATGCTTTTCTCATGCTTCCAAACTGTGTCTTGAAGATATTTTGCGCATCTTTCTTCTTTGCAAGTTATCTCTGAGCTTCCTGATCTGTGTGACTGTGTCGAATATTTTGGGGCAGTTCTTCTGTGAGGTTTTGTCAACGATCGAGCCATCTCCGGGGTGCAGGGGCGCCCCCTTACTAAACTTGTTCCAAAGGTGGATTCCAACAGTGTTTTGAGGCCAAGTCCAAGAAATGCCCCCACCAGATACGAAGAGTTCTTCCCAGCGCTTCCAGTGGAGCGGGTAGAAGGTGGAGGGAGCTGCGGAAACATTACTACCATGAGCGACCGGATATATTAGCAGTAAGACTGAACGGTAAACATGTACCAAGTGTGCTATCAACTATTTCCCAGCAACATAGAAATCATTATTAATGTTTTGCATGACTATGTCAGCGATGTTTGCATGCACTACGAGGTCCAGGCCCAATAGTGAATGAGAGTTACGCTCACCCAACATTACGAGATCCTTGCACTGGTGGACATCAGTGATGTTCTGGATGTTGCAAGCCTTCCTCACCACCCTCTGGAAGACCCCTGGACCGTTGTGTCCCCAAACATTGCCCTGGAAGTGTTCCGTCAGCTCCCTGATGGCCTCTACACACAGCCAATGATCCTTAGGGATTCTGAGGAGATATTTCAGGAATTTAGAACAGGAACCTGCAGAAGATCTGTCAAGTAAGTAAGTAATTATCAAAAGAAGGCACCAAACCGGGAAGGTTATTTAGCACCATCAAATGTGCGGGATAATCAGAGGGCGCTAAATATCACCAAGGCTGCCAATACGAGAACAGAAACGCATAAGGCGAATGATATCAAAAGTATCTGAGTCACCGAGAATACTATCGAGAGACAAGCGACCGCGGGGGACTGTCGGAAAATAAGACACACGCTCATTCCAGAAGTCAGGACATTCAATAAGGATATGCACGACCGTAAGAGGGACAATGCAATTAGGACAATAAGGAGCAGGGCAGCGCTCCATCAAGTGACCATGGGTTAAGCGAGTATGGCCAATATGCAACCTCGCCAGAGCCGTTTTCCATCGCCGGTTATGGTGGTAGGAGGATGGCCATGAGGACACACAACCTTTAAGAGAACGTAGTTTGTTGCCAGTAACAGACGATCAACAAGCCTGCCAATGGGTAAGGACTGAGGAATGGATAACCGGGTAAAAGTTGGAGTAAGGAATACCTTTACGAGAGATGGGACAAGAGCGGACAGCCTCCCTGGAGGCAGCATCCGCACGCTCATTTAAAGAGACACCAATATGGCTGGGAACCCAACAAAACTCAACTGACTTAAATTTACTGTGAACAAGAAACAGCCAATGCTGGATCTCGACAACCACTGGATGAACCGGATTAAAGGACCCGAGAGCCATGAGGGCACTACGAGAGTCAACAACAACTACAAAGGAAGACTGACAACGAGAAAGCAGGAGACGAAGAACATAGAGAATAGCATTAAGTTCTGCTGTGAAGATGCTAGTCTCCAGAGGCAAGCGACACATATAAGTGCAGTCAGGAAAAACAACAGAGTAGCCAACACCGTCCGCAGACTTAGACTCATCAGTGAAGACGGAAATGGAGCAGGAATGAGAAGAAAAGTGCTCAAGAAAAAGGCGTTTTAGAACCGTAGGAGAGGTAAAAGCTTTAGTGATGTGGGTCAAGGATGTACAAAATTGCGGAAGGGGGACTCTCCACGGGGGCAAGGATGGAACAACACGAGGAGAAACATTAGAAATACAAACGGAAAGAGAATCCTGTAAGCAAGATAACCGGACAGAAAGAGGGAGGTGGTGAAGAGGAACAGGAACCACAGGAGGGGTAAAAGTTAAAGCATGACAGGTGAGAAGAAGGATGTTGCAAGGATCAAGCAAGATAGCGAAGACAGTAGCGATCACGGCGGTCCTGGAGAGACAGGAAGCTAGTGTCAACATACAAGCTGAGGACGGGAGTCGAACGAAAGGGACCAGAACTGAGACACAACCCAGTATGGTGCAAAGCATCAAGACGGCGAAGAGTAGAAGGAGAAGCAGACGAGTAAGCAGGGCAACCATAATCGAGCTTAGACAAGATGAGAGAGGAATGTAAAGCAAGGAGAGTGCGCCTATCCGCTCCCCAAGAAGTATGGGACAATACCCGAATGGGGGTAAGGGCCTTAGAGCACTCAACACGGAGGTAAGAGATATGGGGAGACCAAGACAAACGAGTGTCAAAGAATATCCCCAAAAGCTTCGCGGAATCTTTGTACTCAAGGGGATGACCATAAAGTGACAAAGAGGGACGAAGAACGACCCGTTTCCGAGTAAAAGTCATGGCACAAGTCTTAGTAGAAGAGAACTTGAAGCCATGATTGGTGGCCCAAGACGACACGGCATCAATCGCAAGTTGAAGCCGGCACTGAAGGAGAGGCGAATCATCACCCTGACAGCAAAGGGTAAGATCATCAACATAGAGAGCGGAGAAGACACTTGAAAGAAGAGAGGAAAGAAGACCATTGAGGGCAACCAGAAAAAGAGTAGTGTTCAGAACACTACCCTGGGGCACATCTTCATATTGCTGAAAAGAGGCAGAGAGAGCGGTACCAAGCCTCACCCGAAAGGAATGACGAGAGAGGAAGCTGCGGAGAAAGAGAGGGAGATGACCACGAAGGCCAAAAGAATGAAGCTGGGATAGAATATGATATCGCCAAGTGGTGTCGTAAGCCTTTTCATGGTCAAAAAGGACGGCAACAACGGAGGTCTTCGCAGCAAAAGCAGTACGAATATAGAACTCCAAGTTCACCAGGACATCTGTCGTGCTGCGGCACTTGCGGAAACCAAATTGAGAAGGGGAAAGGTGGTGATGGTGTTCCAAGAACCACATCAGACGAACGTTAACCATACGTTCAAAGAGTTTACAGACACAACTTGGAAGGGCAATAGGGCAAAAGTCCTTTGGGGATGTTCCCAGAGACCCCGGTTTGCGAACAGAGAGGACAACGGCATCGAGCTAGTCCTCAGGGACTGACGACGACTCCCAGATCTGATTATACAGACTCAGTAAATACTGAGACGTGCACGGAGGGAGATGGTGAAGAATCTCATAATGAATACCATCAGAGCCCGCCGCCGTAGAACCGCAGAGGGCCAGGGCAGAACGAAGTTCAGAGAGAGAGAGAAGGGATCATTATAATGAAGTCGAAGACGAGTGCAGAAATCTAATGGACGAGACTCAAGGACAGGTTTACGAAGAAGGAAAGATTGGGGAAGATGAAGACCAGAGCTAACAGAAGAAAAGTGGGAACCCAGTTCGGAAGCGACCTGCAACGGGTCCGCCACAAGAGTACCACGGAGGTGAAGGACCGGTGAAACATCGGGAACAAACTTACCTGCTATCTTGCAGATACGCTTCCAGTTCGGTGGCAGAGGAGTTTCGGACGTAATGGTGGAGACATAAGATGCCCAACATTCACGTTTAGCCGTACGGATGGCCCTACGGGCCACTGCACATACCTTCCAAAAGAAAAGAAAAGAATCGGCCGTCTGCCAACGGCGGTGTCTCTTCCAGGCTGCACGCTTACAGCGGACAGCCCGAGCACAATCTGCATTCCACCAGGGAACGCACTTCCGTGGACCCCAAGAGGAAGAGCGAGGAATAGAGCGGAGGGCAGCGTCGAAGACTGTCATGAAAAAGGAGGAGAGCGCGAGGGAGAGGCAGAAGGGAGAGGTCAGAGAGAGCAGCACTGAGGGTAAATAGGTCCCAATCCGTTTTAGCAAACTGCCACCTAGGGAAGGAGAGGGGACGGTGAAAAGAGAAAAAGATAACCAGGATGGGGAAATGGTCACTGACATGGAGGTCATCAAGAACCTGCCACGTGAAATCCAAGTAAAGAGAAGACGAGCAAAGAGAAAGATCAAGACAGGAAAGGGTACAAGTCCGAGAGTCCAAATGTGTGGGCTCACCAGAATTTAGAAGAGACAGGGAAGAAGAGAGGATAAACGGCTCAAGAAGGCGACCTCGGGTGTTCGTCAGAACATCACCCCAAAGGAAATGACGACAATTGAAATCACCCAGCAGGAGCACAGGCTCCGGCAAGGAGTCCAGTAGGTGTTTCAGATCAGGAAGTGAAAGCGGGACACTCGGGGGGAGATAAATGGAACAAACTGTGTACCATTTCCCCACAAAAATATGAGCAGCTGAACAATGGAGAGGCGAAGGAAAAAGTAAGGGGACAAAGGGAACATCAGAGCGAATCAAGAGAGCAGAAGAATTAGGAGCCCCAGCAATAGCTGGGGGGGAGGGGGAGAGAAAGGAATAGCCACGGAAGCGACCAGGACGAGCACCAAGCATCGGCTCCTGGAGACAGACACAAAGGGGCGAAAACTGCGAAATCAGAAGTTGGAGTTCAAGGAAATTGGCGTAATAACCTCGAACGTTCCATTGAAGAATAGACATCGACGAGAAGAGAAAGGACAAAAACAGAGAACAAGGAAGAAACAAAGGCGAAAGAGCAACAGAGCATGTTAAAGAATATCAGGGTCGGGATCAGGGTGAGCAAAGTCAGGGTTAGGGGGCATGGGTAAACTGAGCAAAGATGGAGAGAAGGAAGTGGGAGAACAGACCAGAGGTGGACAGGCGGGGTCTGGAGGAGGAGGAGGAGGAAGAGGAAGAGACAACCGAGAGGAGAAGTCAAGGACAGCAGCAGGAAGAGGGGGAGGAGAAAGAGGGGGAGGAGAAAGAGGGGAGCGCACCTCAGCAAGGGCAGCAACCGAGAGGGAAGCGGGGGCCAAAGAAACCCCCATAGCAGGAACAGGGGGCGCAACCACCGAAATGGGAGGGGAAGGAGCGATAGAGGCAGAAGTAGGGGGCCGAGGAAGAAAGCGAAACCTTCTTACCTGCTGGGGAGGAGGAAGGAGAGGAGCCAGGCTTACGCTTCTGACTTAAAGAGACAGGTGTCCCAGCAACTACGTACTGGGCAACGGATTCCAGCATCTCAACAGGGGAAGCTGAACGAGAGCACACACGACGGCCGTTTGGAGAGCAATGGACATCAGCCTGCACTGGCAGGCGGCGGGGAGAGTCAATAGACAGAGGGGAAGGATGGGAAGGAGGATATGATGGAGACGAGGAAGAAGACACAGAAGACTTGACAGACTGGGTAGAAAAAAGGGGAACCCCAAACAGAGGACCAGGAGGGGGACCCTTCGGGACAGAACTCAAAGGAACAGAGGAGGGGGCAGTGGGCGTATCAGGGTCCAAGGCCCGGAAACGGTTGTGAGTCTGAGGAAGGTGGGAAGGACGAGGAGAGGAAGAGCGCAACATGCGAGCATAAGAGATGTTAACATAAGGCGGGAGCCGGCGAACCTGGCGTCTCGCCTCAGGAAAAGATAAACGCTCCCGGTACTTCAAGTTGAGGACGGCTGCCTCAAGCTTGTAATGGACACACGCACGGGAGAAGGTAGGATGGGCCTCACCGCAGTTGAGGCAACGAGCCTGGGGAGAAGTGCACTCCGACTTAGAGTGACCTTTGCCCCCACACAAAGGACAGAGACAGTCCCAGAGCAGTGGAGGGCACCATGCCCAAACCTCCAGCACTTGTTACAGAGCCTAGGAGAAGGAATGTACTCTTGGACAGAGCACCTGGCACCAGCAAGAAGGACAGAGGATGGAAGGGTCCTACCATCAAAGGTGATCTTCACAACCCGAAGGAGTTGACGGCGACGACCACGAGGGGGACGAGTAAACGTGTCTACCCGGAGGACAGAATGGCACTGGGCCTCAAGGATATTCTGAATATCATCATGGCAGTCCTGCAGATTCTGAACACCGGTTGCAACATGGGGTGGGAGGAGAATAGTGCCAACACTGGCATTCAACTGAGCGTACTTGGAGACCCGAACAGGGGTCTCGCCAAGGCAGGATAAGGCAGCCAAACGGGAAGCTGCATCCTGAGAAGGAGCAGCAACGACACATGTACCGAGACGGGTGGGGTTGAAGGTGACAGAGGCATCCACGGAATCAACAAGGTGCCTATGAAGGGAGAAATCGTCAGGAGGCGCAGAATCAAGAGGGAGGAGATCAAAGTATTTGGCCCACGAAGCGGGACCAAACAAGGCTTGATATGCATCAGAACAGGAAGGAATCGAATGAGTGCGGCCGTGTCGAGGACGGAATTGAGAACCCCCCAGAGAGAGAGAGGGGGTTAAAAGGCGCAGTAGTTACAACAAGAGATGGAGCCGTGCCAGGGGACGAGGTAGTCACCGCTGGGGGCTTGGGGCTCGACCCAACCACAGAGGAGGGAGGGGAGCCAAGGGGAGTAGTCAGAGAGGCCAAAGGAGGAGCAAGGTCGGGGCCCAATGCAGCGGAGGCTACAGAGCCCAGTCTTCCAATACAGACCAACTCGGGGGCTTGGTCGCTCACCCCACGAGCCTGAGAAGGTAAATGAGGAACACAATTAGACATAGGTACGAAGAGAAAAATATTCATTCACGAATGTCCCCCATTACCCACCATGGAGCCACAATTAGAGGCAGGACACCCAACAAGAAGCCATCGCCGATCATGTCGGGGCCTCCTAGGGGTGCGTCGTGAGTATACGCCCCACAAACGCCACCTTAAGAACCGTCAGTCCATCGAGATCGGGTTCAGCGACAAAAGGGGGATTGACAATAAAAGGTTCCCCTCGCTCTCGACGTTGGGTACTACAGTTCTACGGGTGCAAGAGTATGCCTCCTCAAGCACCCAGGCGTCAAAATAGAAGTCCAAAAGAATAACCAAAAACAAGCAAAAGGTCGGCAGGAAATGACAAGCAGATAGGAGAAGAGGGGGGAGAAAAACGAAACACAAGGAAAAGGAAAGGCAATCCGGCACAATTAGAGAAGACAGCAGCAGGAGCATAAGGCCACAAAAGGACAGAGGACTGTCCCACGGAGCATCACACTCCGGCAGCCGTCCACCAAGCTCCCTCACGGCGCCAACGGGCCGGATGGGGAGGGGGGGGGGGAAGATCTGTCAAGATCTTCATAATTTATACTATTATATGCTCAAATTTACAGATTTGCATAAATCTAAATGTTAACAAGTGGCTCATCTTGATGACCAAACCACACACCAGAAGATGAGGACATGATGACATTTCGGTCCATCCCGAAACGTCATCATCTGAACTTCTGGTGTGTGGTTTGCTAGTATCATCTTGTCAGTATTATATCACAAGTATTACATCCAATACTAACTTGAAGGCACCATTGGAGAGATGGTCCCAGCGTTCCCGACCAATCCATGACTCGCTGGAAGGCAAGGGTGCCACTGTCCACATGTCCAAGTCAAGGTAAATACCTCCCACAGAGCACACCACACCCAGACGTAGCGCATCCGACAAATTGATTCCAGCCCAGTCTGTTGAGACAGAGACGTGTAAAACTACTGCTAACTCTAGCGTAGTCTGTCGAGACAGAGACGTGTAAAACTACTGCTAACTCTAGCGTAGTCTGTCGAGACAGAGACGTGTAAAACTACTGCTAACTCTAGCGTAGTCTGTCGAGACAGAGACGTGTAAAACTACTGCTAACTCTAGCGTAGTCTGTCGAGACAGAGACGTGTAAAACTACTGCTAACTCTAGCGTAGTCTGTCGAGACAGAGACGTGTAAAACTACTGCTAACTCTAGCGTAATCTGTCGAGACAGAGACGTGTAAAACTACTGATAACTCTAGCGTAATCTGTCGAGACAGAGACGTGTAAAACTACTGATAACTCTAGCGTAGTCTGTCGAGACAGAGACGTGTAAAACTACTGCTAACTCTAGCGTAGTCTGTCGAGACAGAGACGTGTAAAACTACTGCTAACTCTAGCGTAGTCTGTCGAGACAGAGACGTGTAAAACTACTGCTAACTCTAGCGTAGTCTGTCGAGACAGAGACGTGTAAAACTACTGCTAACTCTAGCGTAGTCTGTCGAGACAGAGACGTGTAAAACTACTGCTAACTCTAGCGTAGTCTGTCGAGACAGAGACGTGTAAAACTACTGCTAACTCTAGCGTAGTCTGTTGAGACAGAGACGTGTAAAACTACTGCTAACTCTAGCGTAGTCTGTTGAGACAGAGACGTGTAAAACTACTGCTAACTCTAGTGTAGTCTGTTGAGAATGAGATGTGTAAAACTAATGCTAATTCTAGCATACTCTATTGAGATGGACGTACTACATTTTGTCTGGGAGAGGAACCCTGTGTATATATATATATATATATATATATATATATATATATATATATATATATATATATATATATATATATATATATATATATATATATATATATATATATACAGTATATACCTTAGGCTTGTTGTTACGACCCTAGATTCTTAGTTGGAAACCAGAGGTCAAATTAAGTTCCAAATACTTTTGTGAGAAGGATAGTTAATTAACAATAACGTTTATATGCAGAACTTCTCATACCTTGGTTCCATCTTCCTTGCCAAACGTAAGATGAATCGTGTTTTTCACAGAGCATTCAGGTTCTGAGCTTGTTGATTATTAAATATAACATTGAACTAGCTATCAGCTATTCTTAGAACTGTTAAAGTAACTAATAATGAATGTCGGTGAAGACTTGTCTGTTTATTGCTGTATGATCAGCTAGGCCACTTCCCGGCAGCATATTTAAGAGTTCTTCTCCGTTCTTCTCCTCCTCCTCCCTTTCCCTTACCTTATTCTACATTGATTCTCTAAGTTAAGTAATACTGTGTTACAGTGTTCTGGCAAATTGTGTAGCTAAGTTCTGGTGTAGCCTAAGGTAGTGTTTATATCCCATAGATTACTCTAGGGTGTGCTAGTGAAACCACATGTGCTCAAGTTTACCTAGGCTACCTAGAGCCTTTACAAGTGTCCTTCTCCAAGTAGTCTTTACCCTAGTTTGCAATTGTAAACCTTGCATCCTGCTTATATGGACCAAGGTCGGTCCGTCTAATTACCGCAAGCTTCACAAAGCTTCCTGGCAATACGTTAGTAATGAATAAATATGATATATTTACTCATTATAATGTTGGTGGTAAATGTACAACACGAAAAAACATAATTTTAATCTGAAAAAGTATCTCTTTATAAAGAAATTTGACGAAAATAAAGAGCTGGTGACGCCAAATCAAGTCGACGATCCAAGCGTCGGTTAGGTTAGGTTAGGTTCGGTTAGGTTAGGTTAGGTTAGGTTAGGTTAGATTAGGTTAGGTCAGCCTAACCTAGCATATCATATTTATTCATTACTAACGTATTGCCAGGAAGCTTTCTGAAGTTTGTGTAACTTGTGGTAATTAGACTGACCCACCAAGGTGTTTAACGTAAGGTAGAGTGGTAAAGAGATTCGTTGTATTAATGTATATGGGGATTATTTGAGGGTTTAATAAATAAGGAATAAGCTAGGAGTATCTTTTCATCCTGTTGAGTGTGGAATAGGGGATTACCTTAGACTACAGACATTTATTCTAGCCAAACTATTATTCTTTGCTGGGAAATATTCTTTCCCTGGGGGCCAGGGCCTCCGTATTGCCACTATTTTAGGAACTCCTTAGTCTTTTAAAATTGGCCCTCTCAGTACAACCACATACCCCATAACAAGTGGCTGGCCTGACCTGGAACTGAAATTTTTATATATAAATTGTAAAAATTTAGATTTTTGAGTGCCGAAACTAAATTTCTTGCATTCCGCAGAACGGTTGTGTGGTAGCCTAGGGTCCAGCTCAATTAGCAAAGGATACATCTTGCACTGACTAGACATCCAACTGGATCTCTTCACGATTGAGGTAAGTGTGGCCTTGTAACAGGGGCCGTGCAAATTTTTGTATTTTTTTTGCAATTTTTATTTTTATTTTTACTTTGGCTAGTAACTAGGATAATTAGTGATGGAGACTATGTTGCAGGAACTGGCAAAGACCCCTTCAGTGGTAGAGATCAAGAAGCTGACCAAAGCAGTCTTCCAACTACTGCTCCACGTCACCCTTCCCCCTATCACTCCATGTCACCCTTCCACCTACCATTTCACGCCAACCTTACACCTACCACTCCACGTCACCCTTCCACCTACCGCTCCACGTCACCCTTCCACCTATCACTCCATGTCACCCTTCCACCTACCATTTCACGCCACCCTTACACCTACCACTCCACGTCACCCTTCCACCTATCACTCCACGTCACCCTTCCACCTACCGCTCCACGTCACCCTTTCACCTACCGCTCCACGTCACCCTTTCACCTACCACTCCACGTCACCCTTTCACCTACCGCTCCACGTCACCCTTTCACCTACCGCTCCTTGCCCACTCCATCCCTCGGAGCCACTTGCCGAGTCGTCCTGCACCCTCCAGGACGTCGTCAACATCCAGCGTGGAGATGTGGATGTTGCTGTAGGAGGCGAGGGCGTGGATGATGGCATCTGTGCCCCCTACGTGGGTGGACGTGAGGGCTAGGTTGACCTGGTGGTCGGGGTGGTGGACTGCTGCGCTCTCTACTGCACACGCCTGTCAAGTTATTGAAGAAAATATTATTGAGCACCTGTGAAGAGAGGGTAGACTGAACACAAATGTTTGGGGGGATTAATTAGATTGGTAATACTCATGTTACTCGGTGAGTCAGGTTGTGCATTGGAGGCAGGCCGCCGTTCTTTCAATTTGCCACTCCATAAAAAATCCAGCTGTTTTGCTTAACTTGAAGTGTGTGTGTGTGTGTGTGTGTGTGTGTGTGTGTGTGTGTGTGTGTGTGTGTGTGTGTGTGTGTGTGTGTGTGGATTGGTCGACTCTTTAAACAATATTACCTTGAGGTTACCTTGAGGTGCTTCCGGGGCTTAGCGTCCCCGCGGCCCGGTCGTCGACCAGGCCTCCTGGTTGCTGGACTGATCAACCAGGCTGTTGGATGCAGCTGTTCGCAGCCTGACGTATGAATCACAGCCTGGTTGATCAGGTATCCTTTGGAGGTGCTTATCCAGTTCTCTCTTGAACACTATGAGGGGTCGGCCAGTTATGTCCCTTATGTGTAGCGGAAGCGTGTTGAACAGTCTAGGGCCTCTGATGTTTATAGTTCTCTCTCAGAGTACCTGTTGCATCTCTGTTCTTCAACGGGGGTATTGTGCACATCCTACCATGCCTCCTGGTCTCATTTGATGTTATTTCTATGTGCAGGTTTGGGACCAGCCCCTCTACTATTTTCCATGTGTAAATTATTATGTATCTCTCCCGTCTGTGCTCAAGAGAATACAGATTTAAGCATTTTAGTCGGTCCCAATAGCTTAGATGTTTTACTGAGTGGATTCTAGCAGTAAAGGATCTCTGCACGCTCTCCAGGTCAGCAATATCTCCAGCTTTGAAAGGGGCTGTCATTGTGCAGCAGTACTCCACTCTAGAGAGCACAAGCGTTTTGAAAAGTATCATCATCGGTATAACATCTCTGGTGTGAAAGATTCTTATTATCCAACCTGTCATATTTCTTGCAGTTGTGATGGCTACTTTATTGTGTTCTTTAAAGGTAAGGTCTTCCGACATGAGTACACCCAGATCCTGTACATTGCCTTTTCCTTCTATGTTATGATTTGAGTATGTTTGGTGAATGTGAGGTAATAAGTGAGCGAACAGGATGTGTTGGTGGTGCCTAGTGACCACCTCGACACAACGTTTGCCTTGGTACGGAGAGGGACTTTTATAAGCACTGTTAATTAGATAGGTCCACTAATTAGATAGGTAATCACATTAATACAGGCTCAACCTTCACTAAAGAGAATTCGAGAAAGCATTGAAGGGAAGTAAACATATACAGTATACTGTAGTTTGATTAGCTGAATTTTCAATGATAATATTGTGTTGTTTTGCTATGGTAAAGCCACATGAAAATCCCCAGGGAATATGAAGATAAACACAGGAAACTAGAGATAAGCGCAGTTAACAACTTGTACAGAAACATGTTGACGTGATGACTTTATTATTAATAATTAGTTTGTTGACAAAATGATGAGGTTCGAAGGTGGTGTATAGACACAAACTTTATGTAACTGTCATGTTAGGTGCACTAATTTTAGTTCATCTATGACAGGAAGTGTCAAAGTGGATGGCAGGAAAGAGTCATGTGACCCACCAGGACATCTGCTCTTAACCCCTGGAAGATGAAACACACTTAGTCTGTCTAGTATTCTTTTGCCAGAAGAGAGACATCACAAGCGCCAAACTTGAGGCCCTCAGGGACCTCAAAGTCCACAATATTCCCTCCATCCTGAGGGGTATCTTCCACGAGGGGAACATGGCATGAGAGGTTTTCATTTCATTTCATCATTTCATTTCGGGGTTTAGCGTCCCCGCGGCCCGGTCCTCGACCAGGCTTCCTTTTTGTTACACCCCCCCCCCCCCCAGGAAGCAGCCCGTAGCAGCTGTCTAACTCCCAGGAACCTATTTACTGCTAGGTAACAGGGGCATCAGGGTGAAAGAAACATTTTGCCCATTTGTCTCCGCCTCCACCGAGGATCGAACCCGGAACCACAGGACTACAAATCCTAAGCGCTGTCTACTCAGCTGTGAGGCGCCCCTCTATCGGGCCAAGACAGAGACAAAGTCTCTATATACATAACATCCCTTTCATCAAGTCTTGTAAACAAGGAAAAATTTTAAGTTGGAAGGAATAGTACCCAACCACTTGTGGACGGTCGGGGATTGAACACCGACCTGCTTGAAGCAAGACCGTCGCTCTATACCATCCAGCCCAAGTGGTAAACACGAACCATCACCGCCGACCAGACCCCAAACACCACCCAACCAACCCCACCACCAGACCCCAAACACCACCCAACAAACACTCATTCCACCCACCATCTTAGCATTAAGGGCCGACGCACACGTAGTCTCCAGGAAGAAGATGTTCTGGGCGCTGGAAGAAGCTGTGAATTTGGGCAGCCTGACGGGGAAGGGCGGCGGGGTGGTACTGGCCTGTAGGGTGCAGGCCGCCGCCCGCCACCCACCCTCGCCCACTCCACCCTCCACGCCCATCACCACGTCTATAGCGAAGTGGTCTTCGTAGTCGGCCACCACCGCTGGAAGACTCAGGGAGGTCCTGCTGCCTGTTGAAACAATATATAGTTATAACAATAACCAATTTCTGCATAAAGTTCAGAAACATGAACCATTACTGTGTGACACTGAACTCATGTCCTGGGGACCTGCTTTCATTTGAACCAAGAGTAGGCCTATATAGCTTGTTTTATCAATAATGAAGCACGGGTAGGCCTATACAGCTTACTTTAACCAAGAATTTGATTCACACTGGGATCCAAGATTCACATTGGGAACCAAGATTCACACTGGGAGTCAAGATTCACACTGGGAGCCAAGTATCAGTAACTTTTGTCTAATCAAAGCACAATGGAAAGCTTTCTAACTTTAGCCCCTCTCGCTGACCAGCTCGTTGATGCCGTGAGGGAGCTTGGTGGGCGGCTGCCGGAGTGTGATGCTCCATGAGTCAGTCCTCTGTCCTTTTGTGGCCTTTTGCTCCTGCTGCTGTCCTCACGAATTTTGCTGGACAACTTTTCTTTTTCCTCATGTTTTCGTTCTTCTCCCCCCACCCCCTTTTCTCCTTTCTCGTTCTCATTTGCTGCCGACCTTTTGCCTGTTTTGATCATTCTTTAGACCTTCTTTTGTTTTGACGCCCGGGTGTTTGAGGAGGCATACTCTTACACCCGTAAAACTGTAGTACCCAACGTCTTGAGCGAGGGGACCCTTTTATTGTCACTCCTCCTTTCGTCACTGAACCCAATCTCGATGGACTGATGGTTCTTAAGGTGGCGTTTGTCGGGCGTATACTCACGACGCACCCCTAGGAGGGCCCGGCAAGATCGGCAACATGTCTCTTGTTGGGTGTCCTGCCTCTAATTGAGGTTCCGTGGTGGGCGTGGGGGCACATTCGTGAATGAATGTCTTTCCTCTCGTATTTAATGTTCCTCTTTTACCTTCTCGGGCTCGTGGGGTGGGCGACCAAGCCCTCGAGTCGGCCTGTGTTGGAAGACCGGGCTCTGTAGCCCCTGCTGCATTGGGCCCTGACCTTGCTCCTCCTTTGACCCTCCTGACAACTCCCCTCGGCTCCCCTCCCTCCTCTGTGGTTGGGTCGAGCCCCAAGCCCCCAGTAGTGACCACCTTGTCCCCTAGCACGGCTCGGTCTTTAGTTGTGACTACTGCGCCTTTTAACCCATCTTTCCCTCTGGGGTTCTCAATGCTGTTCTCGCCACGGCCGCACTCGCTCAATTCCTTCCCGTACTGATGTGTATCAGGCCTTGTTTGGTCCCGCTTCATGGGCCAAATACTTTGATCTCCTCCCTCTTGATTCTACGCCTCCTGACGATTTCTCCCTCCATAGGCACTTTGATGATTCAGTAGATGCCTCTGTTATCTTCCACCCCACCCGTCTCGGTACATGTGTCATTGCTGCTCCTTCTCAGGATGCAGCCTCCCGCTTGGCCGCCTTGTCCTGCCTTGACGAGACCCCTGTTCGGGTCTCCAAGAACGCTTGGTTGAATGCCAGTGTTGACACTATTCTCCTCCCACCCCATGTTGCAACCAGTGTTCGGAATCTCCAGGACTGCCACGAAGATGTTTGACATATCCTCGAAACCCAGGGTCATTCTGTCCTCCAGGTAAACTTGCTTACTCGTCCCCCTTGTGGCCGTCGCCATCAACCCCTTCGGGTTGTGAAGATTACCTTTGATGGTAGCTGGGACCCTTCCGCCCTCTGTCATTCTTGCTGGTGCCAGGTGCTCCGTCCAGGAGTACATTCCCTCTCCTCGGCTCTTTAATAAGTACTGGAGGTTTGGGCATGGTGCCCTCCGCTGCTCCGGTACTGTCTCTCTCTGTCCTATGTGTGGGGGCGAGGGTCACTCTAAGTCGGAGTGCACTTCTCCCCAGGCTCGCTGCCTCAATTGCGGTGAGGCCCACCCTACCTTCTCCCGTGCGTGTATACAGTACAAGCTTGAGGCAGCCGTCCTCAACTTGAAGCACCGGGAGCGTTTGTCTTTTCCTGAGGCGAGGCGCCAAGTTTGCCATCTCCCATGTTAATCTAACGTCTCTTATGCTCGTGTGTTGCGCTCTTCCTCTCCTCGTCCTTCCCATCTTCCTCAGACTCACAACCGTTTCCGGGCCTTGGACCCTGATACGCCCACTGCCCCCCTCCTCTGTTCCTTTGAGTTCTGTCCCGAAGGGTCCCCCTCCTGGTCCTCTGTCTGGGGTTCCCCTTTTTTCTACCCGGTCTGTCATGTCTCCTGTGTCTTCTTCCTCGTCTCCCTCCGATCCTCCTTCCCATCCTTCTCCTCCGTCTGTTGGCTTTCCCCGCCGCTTGTCAGTGCGGGCTGATGTACATTGCTCTCCCAATGGTCGTCGTGTATGCTCTTGTTCTGCTTCACCTGTTGAGACTCTAGAATCTATTGCCCAGTACGTAGTTGCTGGGACGCCTGTCTCTTTGAGTCAGACGCGTAAGCCTGGCTCCTCTCCTTCCTCCTCCCAAGCAGGTAAGAAGGCTTCGCTTTCTCCTTCGCCCCGTACCTCTGACTCTCTTGCTCCATCCCCTCCCGTTTCGGTGGTTGCGCCCCCTGTTCCTGCTATGGAGGTCTCTTTGGCCCCCGCTGCCCTCTCGGTTGCTGCCCTTGCTGAAGTGCACTCCCTGGTTTCTGCCCTTCCTGCTACTGTCCTTGACCCTCGGTTATCCTCCTCTTTTCTTCCTCCAGATCCTACTCGTCCGCTCCTGGTCGGTCCTCAGGCTCCCTTCCTGCCTTCTTTACTCAGTTTACCCATGCCCCCTAACTCTGACTTCACTGACCCTGACTCCTGATCCTGCGCTTCTTTAACGTGCTGTGTTCCCTTTTCACCTTTGTTTCTTCGTTATTCTCTGTTGCTGTCCTTTCTCTTCTTGTCGATGTCTATTCTTCAGTGGAACGTTCGTGGTAATTACGCCAATTTCCTTGAACTAAAAACTTATGATTTCATTGTTTTTGCCCCTTTGTGTCTGTCTCTAGGAGCCGATGATTGGTGCTCGTCCTGGTCGCTTTCGTGGCTATTCCTTTCCCCCCCCCCCTTAGCCATTGATGGGGCTCCTAACTCTTCTGCTCTCTTGATTTGCTCTGATGTTCCCTTTGTCCCCTTACTTTTTCCTTTGCCTCTCCATTGTTCTGCTGCTCGTATCTTTGTGAGGAAATGGTATACGGTTTATTCCAATTATCTCCCCCCGAGTGTCCCTCTTTCTCTTCCCGATCTTAAACACCTACTGGACTCCTTGCCGGAGCCTGTGCTCCTGCTGGGTGATTTCAAATGTCGTCATTCCCTTTGGGGTGATGTGCTGACAAATACCCGAGGTCGCCTTCTTGAGCTGTTTATCCTCTCTTCTTCCCTGTCTCTTCAGAATTCTGATGAGTCCACGCATTTGGACTCTCGGACTCGCACCCTTTCCTGTCTTGATCTTTCTCTTTGCTCGTCATCTCTTTACTTAGATTTCACGTGGCAGGTTCTTGATGACCTCCATGGCGGTGACCATTTCCCCATCCTTGTTACCTTTTTCTCTTTTCACCCTCCCCTATCCTTCCCTAGGTGGCAGTTTGCTAAGGCAGACTGGAACCTATTTACCCTCAGTGCTGCTCTCTCTGACCTCTTCTTTCTGCCTCTCCCTCGCTCTCTCCTCCTTTTTCATGACACCATCTTCAACACTGCCGTCCACTCTATTCCTCGCTCTTCCTCTCGGGGCCCACGGAAGTGCATTCCTTGGTGGAATACAGACTGTGCACGGGCTGTCCACTGTAAGCGTGCAGCCTGGAAGAGACACCGCCGCCGGCAGACGGCCGATTCTTTTGTTTTGTTTTGGAAGGCAAGTGTGGTGGCCCGTAGGGCCATCCGTATAGCTAAACGTAAATGTTGGGTGTCTTATGTCTCCACCATTACGTCTGAAACTCCTCTGCCACCGATCTGGAAGCGTATCCGCAAGATAACGGGTAAGTTCGTTCTCGATGTCTCGCCGGTCCTTCACCTCCGTGGTACTCTTGTGGCAGACCCGTTCCAGATCGCTACCAAACTGGGTTCCCACTTTTCTTCTGTTAGCTCTGGTTCTCATCTTCCCCAATCTTTCCTTCTTCCTAAACCTGTCCTTGAATCTTGTCCTTTAGATTTCTGCACTCATCTTCGACTTCCCTATAACGATCCCTTCTCTCTCTCTGAACTTTGGTCTGCCCTGGCCCTCTGCGGTTCTACAGCAGCGGGCTCCAATGGCATTCATTATGAGATGCTTCGCTATCTCCTTCTGTGCACGTCTCAGTATTTACTGAGTCTGTATAATCAGATCTGGGAGTCGTTTTCAGTCCCTGAGAACTGGCTGGATGCCGTTTTCCTCCCTGTTCGCAAACCGGGGTCTCTGGGTACTTCCCCTAAGGACTTTCGCCCTATTGCCCTCACGAGTCGTGTCTGCAAACTCTTTGAACGTATGGTTAACGTTCGTCTGATGTGATTCTTAGAACACCATCACCACCTCTCCCCTTCTCAATTTGGTTTCCGCAAGTGCCGCAGCACAACAGATGTCCTGGTGAACTTGGAGGTCTATATTCATACTGCTTTTGCTGCGAAGACCTCCGTTGTTGCCGTCCTTTTTGACCTGGAAAAGGCTTACGACACCACTTGGCGATATCATATTATATCCCAACTTCATTCTTTTGGCCTTCGTGGTCATCTCCCTCTCTTTCTCCGCAGCTTCCTCTCTCGTCGTTCTTTTTGGGTGAGGCTTGGTACCACTCTCTGCCTCTTTTCAGCAATACGAAGGTGTGCCCCAGGGTAGTGTTCTGAGCACTACTCTCTTCTCTGTGCCCTCAATTGTCTTCTTTCCTCTCTTCCTTCTGGTGTCGTCTCCGCTCTCTATGTCGATGATCTTACCCTTTGCTGTTAGGGTGATAATTCGCCTCTCCTTCAGCGCCGGCTTCAACTTGCGATTGATGCTGTGTCATCTTGGGCCGCCGTGTTGATTATGGCTTCAGGTTCTCTACGTCTAAGACTTGCGCTATGACTTTTACTTAGAAGTGTGATATTCTTCGTCCTTCTTTGTCGCTTTATGGTCATCCCTTTATGTACCAGGATTCCGCTAAGCTTTTGGGGTTGATTTTTGACACCCGTTTGTCTTGGTCGCCCCATATCTCTTACCTCCGAGTTGAATACTCTAAGGCCCTTACCATCCTTCAGGTATTGTCCCATACTTCTTGGGAAGCGGATAGGTGCACTCTCCTTGCTTTACATTCCTCTCTCGTTCTGTCTAAACATGATTATGGTTGCCCTGCTTACTCGTCTGCTTCTCCTTCTACTCTTCGCCGTCTTGATGCTTAGCACCATACTGGGTTGCGTCTCAGTTCTGGGGCCTTTCATTCGACTCCCGTCCTCAGCTTGTATGTTGATACTGGTTTCCTATCTCTCCAGGACCGCCGTGATCGCTACTGTCTTCGCTATCTTGCGTGGTCCTTACAACATCCTTCCTCTCGCCTCTGTCGTGTTTTAACTTTTGCCCCTCCTGCGGTTCCTGTTCCTCTTCACCACCTCCCTCTTTCTCTCCGCTTACAGTTTTCTCTTTCCGTTCGTATTTCTAATATTTCTCGTCATGTTGTTCCTTCGTTGCCTCCCGTGGAGAATCCTCCTTCTGCAGTTTTGTACATCCTTGACCCACATCACTAAAGCTTTTACCCCTCCTACGGTTCTAAAACGCCATTTCCTTGAGCACTTTTCTTCTCACTCCCGCTCCGTTTCTGTCTTCACCGACGGGTCTAAGTCTGCGGATGGTGTTGGCTACTCTGTTGTTTTTCCTGATTGCACTTATATGTGTCGCTTACCTCCAGAGACTATCATCTTTACAGCGGAGCTTTATGCAATTCTCTATGCTCTTCATCTCCTGCTTTCTCGTTGTCAATCTTCCTTTGTAGTTGTTGTTGACTCTCGTAGTGCCCTCATGGCTCTCGGGTCCTTTAATCTGGTTCATCCAGTAGTTGTCGAGATCCAGCATTGGCTGTTTCTTGTTCACAGTAAATTTAAGTTGGTTGAGTTTTGCTGGATTCCCAGCCATATTGGTGTCTCTTTAAATGAGCTTGCGGATGCTGCCGCCAAGGAAGCTGTCCGCTCTTGTCCCATCTCTCATAAAGGTATTCCTTATCCCAACTTTTACCCGGTTATCTATTCCTCCATCCTTACCTGTTGGCAGGATTGTTGGTCTTCTGTTACTGGTAATAAACTATGTTCTCTTAAAAGTTGTGTGTCCTCGTGGCCGTCCTCCTTCCACCGTAACCGGCGGTGGGAAATGGTTCTGGCGAGGTTGCATATTGGCCATACTCGCTTAACCCATGGCCACTTGATGGAGCGCCGCCCTGCTCCTTATTGTCCTAGTTGCATTGTCCCTCTTACAGTCGTGCATGTCCTTCTTGAATGTCCTGACTTCCGGGACGAGCGTGTGTCTTGTTTTCCGACCGTCCCTCGCGGTCGCTTGTCTCTTGATAGTATTCTTGGTGACTCATACTTTTGATATCGTTCGCCTTATGCGTTTCTGTTCTCGTATTGGCATCCTTGGTGATATTTAGCGCCCTCTGATTATCACACACATTTGATGGTGCTACATAGCCTTCCCGGTTTGGTGCCTTCTTTTGATAATTACTTACTTACTTACTTTCTAACTTTAGCCGAAAACTGCAAGCTTAATCTGGCTTTATGAACTGTACCGTGAGTCAAGATAGGAGGTATATTATTACTCAGGAACTTTACCATGAGTCAAGATAAGTTACAATATTACTCAGGAAACTCAAGTGTTCCAGTTATTACTCACCAGGTAACATGTTCACAGGACTCTGTGATGCTGAGACATACTCATGTGAGTATATCTCAGGGACAGACATACCCACATGAGTATGTCGTCACTGAGACATATTCTGGAGGCCACACTCACCAAGGAGGATCTTGATCACCAGCAGGAGAAGCACCAGGGCGGCCAGACTGCCGCCCACCACCACCCGCGAAGACACCCACAGCCGCACCATGCTGCACACGCCCATGCCACGCCCACAGCAACGCCCACCACACCCGCCTTCCAAGTTCTGACGCTGGCCTCCCTGTGGATGAGGCGTGGGGTAAATAGAGCTGAAAGTCACTGACATCTTATAAGTACACTTGTTACTGTTAGCATTTAGTACCATCTCCACTCGAGAACCAAGTGAAAATAAACCGGAGGGGACAATGCTCTGCGGCTCAAGTGGACCAGAGGAGTTATTCTTAGATCAGTAATTTTCAACGAGGTTTCTGCAAGAAATATATAGCAAAGTAACACAAATAAATATTTTTTTATCATTCAAATATAAATGTAATAGAAGAAAATATCTTCAGCCCACTCTCACTGGTGATGCACTTCACGACACTGGAAGACAGAAGAGTAAGGGGGAGACATGATAACTACCTACAAAATTCTCAGAGGAATTGACAAAGTAGATAAGGATAAACTGTTTAACACGGGTGGTACGCTAACAAGGGGACACAGGTGGAGACTGAGTACCCAAATGAGCCACAGGAACTTTAGAAAGAACTTTTTCAGTGTCAGAATAGTTAGTAAATGTCTCAGGCAGTGATGTGGTGGAGGCTGACTCCATACACAGTTTCAAATGTAGATATGATAGAGCCCAGTAGGCCCAGGAATCTGTACACCAGTTGACAGACAGTTGAGAGGCGGGACCAAAGAGCCAGAGCTCAACCCCCGCAAGCACAAATAGGTGAGTACACACACACACACACACACACACATACACACACACACACACACACACACACACACACACACACACACACACACACACACACACACACACACACACACACACATACACACACATACACACACACACACACACACACACACACACACACACACACACACACACACACACACACACACACACACACACACACACACACACACACACACACACACACACACACACACACACACACACACACACACACACACACACACACACACACACACACACACACACACACACACACACACACACACACACACACACACACACACACACACACACACACACACACACACACACACACACACACACACACACACACACACACACACACACACACACACACACACACACACACACACACACACACACACACACACACACACACACACACACACACACACACACACACCGCCTAGCGGCTGTGCGGGACAGCGCTCTGGATGCGTAGATCTAGGGACCCGGGATCGATCCCGGTCATGGCGAAAACAAATTGGCTAAACTTCTTTCACCCTGATGCCCCTGTTACTTAATAGTAAATAGGTACCTGGGAGTTAGACAGCTGTTACAGGCTGCTTCCTGGTGTGTGTATGTGTATGTGTGTGTGTGCGTGTGTGTGTGCGTGTGCGTGTGCGTGTGTGCGTGTGTGTGTGTGTGTGTGTGTGTGTGTGTGTGTGTGTGTGTGTGTGTGTGTGTGTAATTACCTAAGTGTAGTTACAGGATGAGAGCTACGCTCGTGATGTCCCGTCTTCCCAGCACTCTTTGTCATATAACGGTTTGAAACTACTGACGGTCTTGGCCTCCACCACCTTCTCCCCTAACTTGTTCCAACCGTCTACCACTCTGGTGGCGAAAGGGAATTTTCTTATATTTATTCGGCATCTGTGTTTAATTAGTTTAAATCTATGACCTCTTGTTCTTGAATTTCCAGGTCTCAGAAAGAATTCCTGAGATCCGGATTCCTATAAATTTTGTATGTAGTGATCATATCTTCTCTTTTTCTTCTGTCTTCTAGTTTTGGCATATTTAATGCCTCTAACCTCTCCTCGTAGCTCTTGCCCTTCAGTTCTGGGAGTCACTTAGTAGCATGTCTTTGCACCTTTTCCAGTTGATGTGCTTCTTAAGATATGGGCACCACACAACAGCTGCATATTCTAACTTTGGCCTAACAAAAGTCATGAACAATTTCTTTAGTATATCGCCATCCATGTATTTAAAAGCAATTCTGAAGTTAGAAAGCGTGGCATAGGCTCCTCGCACAATATTCTTTATGTGGTCCTCAGGTGATAGTTTTCTATCTAGAACCACCCCTAGATCTCTTTCTTTATCAGAATTGTGTGTACTCACCTAGTTGTGCTTGCGGTGGTTGAGCTGTGGATCTTTGGGTCCTCCTCTCAACTGTCAATCAATCAACTTCTCCCCCCTCCCACACACACAGGAAGCAGCCCATAGCAGCTGTCTAACTCCCAAGTACCTATTTACTGGTAGATGAATAGAGTAATCTGGGTGAAAGAAACTACTCTCTTGTTTCCACCTCCGCCGGGGATGGATCTCCGGACCCCTGGGACTACAAATCCCTAGCGCTGTCCACTCAGCCATCAGGCCCCTTGACGTGCGCGCGCGTGCATGCGTGCATGTACAGCATGCATACCAATTTACAAACATACTTTTATGGATATAAATATAACAAACTAAACCAAGAAATATGAAAAATAATAATAATACAATTTCGTATACAAGGTTACCATTGGACTATTTTCAACTCAACTAGCCAATGGGCACCGCTGGTTGAAAGCGACCATTTACACAATGTTTACTATGTGTTGGTCGCTTAAACCAACAATATCCACGGCCAATGACATCAAAAATTATATAAAAAGCTGGAAACTCACCACGAATCTGAAACAGTGACGAAACAGCACGAAGAGATATCTGCGAAGGTTCATCCGTAAGCGCTAGACTTGACCAGTCAGTGCGGTCAAACTACGTCAGTCAAGAGCCAGTTTCGTGAGCCGGTCAGCTCACTTATGGCTCAGTTAATCCCCAGATTAGCATATCTAAGCTCAGATCAGCTTATGTAAGCCCATATATCAGCTTATTTAAGACAGACTTGTCGAATGATCTTAACATGTTCTCTACATGTTCGAGAGTGCTGGCTTGTGATTGGTTGGCTCGGTATATGATCGGTTATCTTGGTAATTTGGCGCTAGATTGGAATGTTTGACTCGCTGCAGTCTTATTGATGGGTTGTAATAATGGTAAACATGGTTTCGTGATTGGCTATGAATGAGCTGATTTGGTTCGTGATTGGTGAGTCTATTTGGAAGCTTGCATCGTGATTGGGTGGAAGTTCATTGCTCTGTGGTTGGCGGGGTGACTTCTTGATTGGCTGTCTCGGAAGCTAGTTATGTAATTGACTCTCTGTCTGGGAAGCTGGTTTATGATTGGCAAGCTGCCTGTGAAACCGGTTCACTGATTGGCTGGCGGGCCTGGGATGCTAGTGCTACGATTGGCTAAGACAAACTGTCACATTTGAATTTAAAAATACATTCTTTTAATGCTTGGTCTTC